CAGACTGGACTACTGTAATGCACTCCTGGCAGGCCTACCAGTCAGTAAGATTAACCCGCTACAACTAATCCACAATGTTGCAGCGAGAGATGTTTAATGAGAACACTTTATATGTTTTTCTTGTTCTCTATTATACACTGCTCTCTATGGATGGCATCTTATTTTGCAATAGCAAATTACACTGACTAGCAATTGCTGTTAAGATGGGTTTTTTTTGTTTTATGTTGCATGGATATATTTGTGGGAAAGGCCAAAAATACATTGTAATTCAAATGATTTTTATTTTATGGCAATAATCATTCAAATTTTAAGGAAAGCTCATGTTCTATAAAGAGATTTTGTAAATTGCCTTCTCTAAATATATCAAAACTCAACATTTGAGTAGTAATACTGTATGCATTGGCAAAAACTTAATTTAGACATCTTTAAAGGATTTTTTTCCTCAATATTCAGATATTCTAATCGTTGTTTCTCAACCAAATATTGCCTTATCCTAACAAACCGAACATCAAAGGAAAGCTTATAAATTGAGCTTTCAAATTATGACTTTTCATACAAAAGCTTTATGTCATTTTATTTTTCATATAGCACATGTCTTGCCACTGGCTTGCTTAGTTTAGGACTAGTGGAGCTGCGCAGAGTTGCACTTCAGTGCTTCGACTTTCAGCAGTGACATTTACATTACATTGCACTGAACTGAACTAAACTGAACTTCAACTGTGAAAACTGGACCGAAGCAGTTCAATGTACTAGAACTTCATCTATGTCAGAGATGCCCAAACTAGAGCCCGGAGGCCAAAGTTGGCCCACGGTATCCTTTGCTTTGGCCCACCATCCCATCTGAGAAAATTTTTGGGAAGGGTTGGGTAATACCTTTTATACACATTGTCATATATGTAACCTTTACATATATGTAACCTTTCACTGGTTTATTTTATTGTTAAGCTACAAAAAGCAAATGTTTCAATTAAATGTTGTAAATTAACCAGGTTTTTTTTTTTTTTTTGTATGAACATACTGTTGCTCAACATATAGACCACAATTTAAGTCCTCAGTGAGCAAATCAAGGCAAAGGCAGCTCTGCTAGTCATCACCTTGGAATTATAAGGTTCTATCTGCATTCTGAATGATTTTGAGATGTTGAGCTTCAAAGATTTTTAATTCCATATAGCAAACAGTATGTGTGTAACATTTGTTTTTTTAAAATAAAAGTCTTAAAATGTAAACAAGATATATAAAAAACCATAATGTAAATAAGTTGTCATTTAATAAGAATATGTCAATAACTCAATTTTGACAAAAAATGTCAAAATAATAATTATAATTCTATTCTATATATACCTCATAATTCTAAGGTGATGTAGTGTATTCAGCCTTAAACTCTATTGTATTATAAATATTAATTATGTTTTCATTATGATAGGGTGATTATAAAATATAAAATAATATATTATGCATTAGTTAATATGGCTTATAGTAATGTTGTCTATTTATTTTGAAATAAATATGGGAAATTATCCATGGCAACTTTGTAATACATTGTTGGATATGTCTTTAGATATCTTCAGCACACTGCCCTCAATCAAGTTTGATTTTGGCCCTTCATAAGGAAAAGTTTGGGTACCCCTGACCTATGTTAAGCTGCTTTGACACAATCTACATTGTAAAAAGCACTATAAAAAAGATGAATTGAGTTGAACTGTGTAATTGGGAGTACAGTAGCTGTTCATTTGTTCTATTGTCCTCATTTGTAAGTCGTTTTGGGTATAAGTGTCTGGTAAATAATTGAATGCAAATGTACATGAATAAATACAGGTTTCATGACAAACACACTATCACACATTTCCAATCAACATACCGTATTGTTACTAAAGACGTTGATTTCAGCTTAAAAGTGCTGTAGTATAATTTTTACAGAGTTTTGTTTGTGTAGACTTGATGCTCAATAACAATTTTAAAAGAGTGGCTGTCGAGGACTCCAGAGATCAGCAAATGGAATAGGCTGACCCCAGAGAAGAAAGGAGGAATGGAGAGGGCTTGCCAAAAAGAAGGGGTGTTTCTAGTTCAGAGACAGCACTCTTCATTATTAAGCTTTGGCCATGTAATAAGGCAAGCTCTATCTGCGCTGCTGTTTGCCAACAGGAGGGACTTGTGGTTGCTCCAAATGCGACAGCATTGACTCCGAATGCACTGGCCTACATTCATTGTGTGTTGAACTATTTAGTAAAGTGCCCTAGGGCTCAACTTGAGTGTCTGCTCTTAACTTCATTTGATATCTATTAATGATATGGGTCATTATAAATTTAGACTATAACACTTTCCAAAAATGAGAAATGACTGGAACACTTACACGTTTTCATTTGCTTTTCATCTGTCTCGATTTGCAACCTAAATTGGTTAATCTTTTTCGAGTGATAACAGGTTCACAGCGTGCTTTGTTTTCTTCCTTTTTGTCACAGGCCTCCACATCCAAACTGATTCAGTGTTGGAGTCAAATAAAGGCTAATAAATAAGCTAGAGATAAAAATAAATAATACAGTTTGAGTTCTTTTTCACAGACACAAGTCTGCAACTGCCACAGAATTATAGATGACACTACAGTATGAGTTGTTTTCCAAATATTTATTCAAGCACGCAGTGCCTTTGCAAAAATCTACTGTATAGTATTCAAACCAAGTATGCATATTCACAGTGAATTTTGGTTGTTACAAATCTTAAAAAGAAACAATGATTTCTAAGTTTGTATTTACATCCACCCACTGTTGAACTGGATTGGGCAATGTCTGATTGCAAGCAGATTACTTGTGTCCAACTCACATTACCAGGCCATCCCATCCCATTTCAGGAGGTGCAGCACAAATGTCACAGATTGTAACATTCTATTTGTGCAATGAATGAATAGCAATGTAGATTGTTATTTTCCAATCAATGTAAATTGTTTCCAAGTGTTTGTTTTCTGACTACAACAATGATTTAAAAAAACAATGCTTGAACAAAAAAAGTGCCCATCAGGGGTCTACCGAACCACTGCTCCTCCCAAAGTGCTTTCAAGCACCAATAGTTGGACATTTTCCAAAAGCACCTGGCCACAAATGTTTTGACTGAAGCATTTGACTCGAAATATTGAAAATGTTTGCTTTGCAACTCAATAAAACTTTATGTTTACAGGGCAGTTCCCTCACAAAAAAAAAAAAAAAAAAAACTGCAGTAAACTGAAGTAAAACTGTAGTACAACTGCACTACAACAGCAGTATATAGATGTATAATTGCAGTACAATTGCAAAACTGCAATGACATGAAGTATAAACACAGTTCAAATACAGTACAATAAAGATCAACAGCAGCAGGCCAGGATTGGGTAATCGGGATGGCCGGGAGTATTCCCGGTGGGCCGGTGTCCCTATAGCTGCCTGCACTCTGCGCAGTCACACTTTTTTCATTCATTTATTTATTTGACCATATCCTCAATCTTTTTTATTATTATCCTCAATGCAAATTGCACAGAATATCCATCTGAACAACACATACGAATATTAAGTTCTTAAATGCAAATAATTCAAAACAAATATATTCAAAACTGAAATGCATCATATAACATTAGTTATTAAATCCAAACAAATAAGCTCCTATTCAGATATTGCAGAAAAGGACATTGTGATGTTTTAAAGAATAGTGTTGGAGATTTAGCTACCCTTTAGTGTTCTCAAATTTCTCACAAATATTTGAAGTTATAAAGCAGCAGTTTCCTTAAAAAAGACATGATAGTGTCAATAGAAAATTCAATACATTTGATTTTAATCTTTATTTTATACATGTAGCTTAATTCATATTTGTATTTATTAGATACTTTTTTCATTTCAAGGTTTGGATATTAATGAGCACTAACTCTTACAGGAAATAGATTCTGATACTGTTAAACATTACATTGTGTTAACTGTTCAAATAAATCGTCACTGTGAAGTACTGTGAAGTACGTCAATTGAAAATGATGTTATTTTAATATGGTCAGTCTTGAAACTTCACGGCTGAAAAAGAGTCCCACTCCGGCCCTAAACAGCAGTATAAGTTGCAGTAAACTGGGGTAAAAACAAGTTAACTCCCTCTTTACCGCATTTGTGCCACTGTATATACCAATAGTGTGGTAAGAACTGCACTGCACTTGTGTCCCAAGGGGTTTGTTCTTCAACATCTTCCAAGAATATGTTGTACTTTTTTCAGGGATTTTTTTTGGATTCAAGTAATTTTCTAATTAGAATTTTAAGAGTTTATTTGCAATACCAAATAATAAAAGATAACTACAGTGAACTGAACAGTACAACAGCAGTAGCCTATATACAGGGATAACTGTGGTACTGTATATTCAATGGCACTTCAAAATTGCAGTATATTCAAAATTGCAAGTACTGTATATACAGTATATAAGCTCAACAGCAGTACAATCTGCAGTACAACTGAAGTAGAATTAAATAAACTGAGAGGGACGATATAGTGATATGTTATATAATTTATTGCACTTAGGTACATAAGAATTAAATGTGCGCTTTAGTTTTATTATGCAAAGAATTGCAGTATTGATAAATTTCTGTAGTTATACTTCTGATAAGTGCAGTGGCAGAGCGGAGGCCCCGCGTGATCAGGGGGGCCCATGTCGTCGCTGTTGTACTGTAGTAGTAATTCAGTTGTTTTGCAGTAGTTGTACTGCATTTGTACTGTAGGAGTACTTCAGTTGTATTGCAGCAGATGTACTGCAGTTTGTTGTATTGTAGTACTTTCAGTTTTATTGCAGTAATACTGTCCAAAAAAACTTTGAACTTTTCTGAAGTTGACTAAATCTACAGGATTCCTTTAAAAACATTGCAGTATTCTTAAAAAAACTGCAGTATTTTTTTGTAATGGTTGTGTAAACTGCAACAATTGTGAAGCCTGTGAGGATTTCAGAATGTCTTTAATATGTGTTTCCATCAGTAGCGTGGTTGCATATGTGTTTGTAATGACCATACCTGCTGTGTGCGCGGTTTATAAGGTGAACTGCTCTCTAGGTCAGCCAGGATACTGGTCAGCGAATCAATCTCAGCATCCAGACTGGAGCGTCTCTCTTCTAGAGTTTTCTCAGGTCCTTTTATCTGAAACACACAGACACAGTAACCTGTAATGAAATTAGGTCTATTTGAGAGAGGTTGCTCTAAATCAGCTAACCCACTTAATCACATTTGAACATGCATGCTAAAATGGAGAAGAAAAAAAAAACTAAATATTATAGACAAAGAAAGGCAATTTAATGCTCAAATATGGCACAACATCTGCTGTGGGCTGGCATTACACAACACCTTAAGCATCACAGCAACTGCTGATCTTTATTTTGTCTTTGTGCTTTGACTTTACGTGTTCATTAAAATTAATCGTGGCCTCAGACAATTGGCTGAAAGTGAACTACTGTAACAATAAGACACAATTGTCTGGGAGAAAGTCTTTAGGAAAAAATCTTAGTGAAGTGAAAAAATAAACAAACAACAACTAACGCTTTGTTGGTGAGACAGCTCATCTCGTATTAATTGAATCACCCTTCAGGTCTCTCTCACTATCACTCCCTCTCTTTGGCTGTCCGCTTTATCTGTTTTTACTCTACTTAAAAGTTTCACTGTCTCCCAAACTGACAATAACAAAGCCTCACTCTCGCAAAGTTTTGCTCACACTCTGGTTGCAGGTTTCTTTTTTAAGATGTTTACACTCAGGGAGCGCAGCACATCCATAAATACATATCCCACCTCATTCATTCATTTTCTTGTCGGTTTAGACCTTTTATTAATCCGGGGTCGCCACAGAGGAATGAACCGCCAACTTATCCAGCAAGTTTTGATGCAGCGGATGGCCTTCCAGCTGCAACCCATCTCTGGGAAACATTCACACGCGCACACACACACTCATACACTACCGACAATTTAGCCTAATTCACCTGTACCGCATGTCTTTGGACTGTGGGGGAAACCGGAGCACCCGAAGGAAACCCACGCGAAGGCAGGGAGAACATGCAAACTCCACACAAAAACGCCAACAGAGCCGAGGTTCGAACAAGCGACCTTCTTGCTGTGAGGCGTCAGCACTAACTACTGCGCCACTGCCTTGCCTTCACATATCCCACCTCACTTAATCTAAATAATGGGTCTCGCTTGATTCATGTGTCAAGCAGAGCAGGGTTCAATTTTGATTTAATTTTAGTCTTTTGACTAAAATGTTGTTTAGTTTTAGTCTTTTGAATCACTTTATTTTAGTCTTAATTTTAGCTTTAGAAAACTAAAAGTCACAGAATTGTAGTCAAATATTAGTCAGTGAAAACTTGACATGTAAATAAACATAATTAAACTTGCATTCAATACACCCTGTCCAAAATTAGTATTATTTTCCCTACATTTAAATTTTTTCTTTTCATTTAAGATTTATCTTTACATTAATAGGTTTGTCAGCAGTGGTCAGAGTATGATTGACCATTAAACCTCAACTGTCTAATTTTATAATGTGCTGTATTTTTGCATTCCCAGTATTGGATTGTGGGTGGAAGGGCATCCGCTGTGTAAAACACATGCTGGATAAGTTGGTGGTTCATCCCACTGTGGCAACCCCTGATAAATAAGAGACTAAGCATATGGAAAATGAATGAATGAATGTATTTTTGCATTCTAAAACACCCATTTATAATATTTAATAAACTTATTTGACAAATTCAAACCTGTCAGTTTTCTTAGAACTCTACAAATATTCCGATAAAAGTTAGCAGGCATTAGGGTCAATTACTGTAGTTGGCAACAAAGTCATTTTGTCATCAGTTGAACCACTAAAGTCACATTGAATGTTTTAACAATGTTTTTGGTTCCTTTTCTGACCTGTGAACTTCACTAGACCATTGCTGTCTAAGGAGGATGAGGGAGCTCTCTGATTCCATGTTAAATATCAAAATGTACTATTTAAAAATGAAAGAAGATCTCAGGGGATTAAACCACCATGAGGGTAAGTAATTAATAACACAATTTCAAGAGTTTACACTTAGATGATGATTGATTATAAAGCGTGTTTTGCATGCTGTCGCAGGAGAGAACCCTGAGCTCATAAGGTCCTCGAGCCTGGGGCTCCCTCCCATTTGTAAGGTGACAGGGGAGTTAAAGCTTAGGTAGGTCTCGAGAACTCCCTTGCTTAATTATGGCTAATTTCAAGAGCTCATCAATAGTGCCAATTTGGTTTGGTCAATTCATCTATGCTGCATGCCTTTGGGCTGTGGAAGGAAACCAGGAAACCCTGGAGAAACCAACGTGAGCATGAGGAGAATATGTAAACTGCATACAGAAATGTCTTTTAGGGCAGTAGTATTAACAGATATAAAGCAGACAGTCTACTAATACTTAAATGGACAGTCAAAATAAAGTGTTATCGCTTATTTATAGTAGGTTAGGAATCATCTGATTGGTGAATCCTGCATTGCTAATGCAGGATCAGATGTGGTCAATCATAAGCACGTGAAACTCTCAAAATTAGTATATCAAATACATACAGTATAACTATTTTTTAGGGTAAACCAACCAATACAATTGGCTATTATATAAATTATATTATATAAATTATTATGCCAATGGTTTCTAATACAACACAGTGTAAAGTAAACAGAATGTCTTCCCATCAGTTTTTAAACAAAAACTGTATATATAACAACCAACTCTAAAGTCTAAGTCTTGGATGAGCAATACATCTGCAATCACGGATTCCTGTCCTTTAAGTCAGAACCCTGAGGGAGCAAAGAACGAAATTATCAAAGGCATTTGAGGAATGGCAGCCATGTGACAAAAAAGGTATGAGGGGCAGATTTTGACAGCGCTTTCACTCCTCATCAAAGGAGGCACAGCAACCTTCTCCCCTCACGGCTGAAGGACACTGATCTCTCTTCTTGTCCTCTGTGGCTTCTTTTGTTTTGCCCCTCATCTATACATGACGCTACATAAATAACGGTCCTTCGTGTGCCTTTATTTTTGTAGTTATTTTCATTGTTCTTTGTGAGCGAGTACCCACAATGACCAAGACATAAATTGTGCTTTTAAAATGAGTACCTTTGTTTTAAATAGTCATAGAAATATTAATATTAAACAAAAATGTATAGAACTCCAAAGTGTCATGTAGAATATTATAGATATAAAGCTTAACATCCCAGTCGAACAAATCAACAACAGATGACTGTGACCAAATATTGCCTTTGATATACAAAAGCAAATAATATTTCACATTTAACTGATATGCAGACAAACATCCCTCAATCTCCAGAATATGTATCTATCTGAGGAGTGCTCTTGGTGGGAAATAAGAGATGAAGTGGCCACTGATACACTTGAAGTCACATCTCCGAAAATATTTGAAACATTTTCTTTTTTTTTTTTAAGATTTATTTTTGGCCTTTTTGGCCCCCTTTATTAGATAGGACAGTAATGAGACAGGAAGGGAAGTTGGAAAGAGAGAGAGGGGCGTAGGGTTGGGAAATGTCTTCAAGCCGGTATTCGAATTCGGGACGCCCTGTCGTGCTACTGCACCATATGACGGCATGCTAACCACTAAGCTATTGCGCCGACGAAACATTTTCAAATATACTTATAAAAGAAATGCATACTTGAAGTCTAAACAACTAAATTTTTTTCCTAGAAAGTTTAAAATAGTACAGCCGCCGCAGTATTTGTCAGACTACAGTTAGACTAGTCCTTTGCTTGTCATTTGCTTTAGGTGGAGTGATACACACAGGTGAGGAGGCTGTAACAGGGCTGAATTGTTGCCCTAGAAACATTTATTATTATCAGTGTTAAAAACTGTTTAAGATTTAATACTTCATATTATGTGGAAATGTTTAACTCTCGTAAAGTGAATGTATTCAGTGTTTAAATCAGTATTACAATCAGGAAATATTTTACAATCAGTTAATTGATTGTATTACTATATTAGGATTGTTTTAATAATTTTAGTTTAGATTGTCCATTTTTATTTTGCATTTACATAATGTTTTAGTAATGTTATTGCTTGCATATTTTTGTCCTCTACAGTAGAAGTCAGAATAATTGCCCCCCTGAATTATTAGCCCCTATTTTTTTTCCACAATTTCTGTTTAACAGAGAGTTTTTTTCAACACATTTCTAGACATAATAGTTTTAATAAATCATCTCTAATAACTGATTTGTTTTATCTTTGCCATGATGACAGTAAATAATATCTTACCAGATATTTTTCAAGACATTTCTATACAGCTTAAAGTGACATTTAATGGTTTAACTAGGTTAATTAGGTTAACTAGGCATGTTAGGGTAATTAGGCAAGTTATTGTAGAATGATGGTTTCTTCTGTAGACTATCAAAAAAAAAAATGGCTATAGGAGCTAATTTTGATCTTAAAATGTTTTTTTTAAAAATGTAAAACTGCTTTTATTCTAGCAGAAATTAAGCAAATAAAAAAATATGATCAGACCAACTGTGAAAATGTCCTTGCCCTGTTAAAAAAATAAATAAAAAATCAAGGGGGTGTAATAATTCTGACCTCAGTTGTACTGTATATACGTTATTTATTTTATCTGTATTTAAATTTAATTATTTTACTACATATTACATACCACACTAAACACACACACAAAAATAAGATAAAATGCTTTAGTTTTAGTTAACATTGCTAACAACCAAATTTAGTTTCCACCTATATTTCAACACAAAACTGCTTTTTCTGAATGTGTGAGACTTCTGATTCATTACAAGCTAAAGAGAAAAAGAACAATCCAGGGGCAACATTACTTTAACCCTGCTGCAGCTTTAGTTATAGTCAGAGCACATGTTTTTTCACTCTATTCAGAAAAGAGCTGCCCTCAATGATACCCAATTAGTGAGATTCTTTACTAAATAAATGTTTCCATAATTTTAATTCACCCACAAAGTGTTTGTTGTGCTGTAAATAACTTATTTTCACAGAACGCAGCAAACATAGACAAGGTGTCAGCCAGCAACAAGTGCACGTTGGAAAGAAATTTTACTTAAGTGTAAAATAAGCCACGATACTGCATTTTATTTAAGATTTAAATTTACACTAAATTTATTTATTTATTCATTCATTTTCCTTC